AGGAGAGGGCCTGCAGAGGGGAGAGGGGTCAACGAAAGGCAGGTAATCACAAAGGGTGGGGCCTGATCTGGAGCCCCAGGACTAGGACACAGGAGGACTTTCGGGGACTTGATGTGACAAGCACTTTAAAAGTTTCACGGATGGCTGCATGAAGATGTGGCCTTCCTGTGATCACAGGCCGAGTCCTCCCACTGCCTGCTACTAAGAGTCTGCCGTGAACCCAGGGAGGTGGTGAGGGAAGGCAGATGCCAGAACCTACAGGGCAGGGTAGCCCCAAGGAAGGCCCTTAAAACCAGAGGAAGTGACCTGGAAAAGGGCCAGGTGCCCTTGTCCAGGGGCAAGATGGGGACACACGAGGACCAGTGTCTGCAGATCAATCCAGTGCCGACCACCCGTTCACCTAGAGATTTGGAAGAACCCAGCCAGGGCTCCCAGAGGGAAATGCTAGCCCTAAGGTAAGTCATTATACTGAGCAGAGAGGACCTGGGTCATGGCCGGGTCATGGCCGGGTGCCCAGCACCTCCTCTGAGGGTGGGTCCCATGGACAACCTCTCTCCGGCTGGGCCAAACTGCTGCCTAGAGGGCATGCAGTGAAGACCCTTTGCCATCACCCAAAGCTCACGGAGAGGAGCCCGACCAGAAAGCAGCCCTCACCCACAGCTACTGTCCTGGCAGGTGAGGGGAAAACCCCAGTACCCACAGACCCTAGTGGGACTTAGGGGCAGCTTCCCTGACAGATGGCAGCTGGCAGGAATCCAGGACCTGCTGCCACCAAGAACCCCTTAGGTCTGCAGGTGCCTGTAAGAGTCAGGATGGCAGGAAAGCTAGTCCCCACCTGACCTGTGTGGGTTGGTCCCTAACGACAGGCCTAGCAGCTTGTTGGGAGGCCAGGGCCAGTGGCAGGCTGTGAACAGTGAGGTTAGAGCACTAACTGCCGTCAGTCATTAGTCATTACAGTCATTGCGTAGGTGCTTAAATCGGAAGCTGTTTTTGAGGTCTGTAAAAGGTTTTCATCCGCCCAGATGCCCTCCCAGCATCTGGGATCTGGGAGCTGGACGAAGGAGGTCCCTGTCTGGGCTCTACTGCAGCTGAGGCCCAAACGGCCTCGAAAAAGAAGGCAGCTGCTTGGGCTTCTCCTCAGGCCTGGAGGCTCTTCCTGGAGGCCTCTCTCCAACCCCAGTTGTCCACAGGCCCATCCTCAGGAGAAAAAGGAAGCAAGAGATAGAAGGGAAGGTCTATTCGGGCCTGCCCTGTCCTCGATGACACCCAGGGTCCCCAGCCTCACTCCCGCCTGGCTAACATCCCACTCTGGCTGTCCAGCAGCCGGCGATGACACTGAGGGTGGACGGGCAGGGGAGGAAGCAAGGGGCCAGAGTCTCCAGCAGCTACAGCCCCCTTGGGCCGGTGGCCACACGGCTGCTGAACGGTGCAGTTTTGAATTCAATTAAAGCGATTATCTGCTGTGCCAAATAAATTGTGTACAGCATCTATCCTGCGGCACTTTACACCTTCGGGCTCATTATTCCCTAACTGTTTCCTCCTGTTTATGCGCTCGCAGATTAAACTGCTGATAATATGCGCCAAAATAAAAAATGAGCGCACCTTGTCCGAGGGAAATTGATTCTCCCTTTTCCTGAACCGGGCGATTGTCAGGTTTTATATACTCGGTTCCTAGTGATCATTAGTAATTCAATTTTCTTTTTATTAGCCCCCTTATCTGCTGAGCAATATAGTGGCAGAGCTGACCTCTTTCGCACGGGTAAATGTTTAAAATCTTTTCCCTGATTAATTTTGCCAGTTAAGAAAAAGAGGAGAAATGGCCCGGCTCTTAGCCATCACAATGAATAAAGCTTAATGTTCATTGTGATGGAATTTCTAATGCCAGAGAAATTGATGGAACGCAGCAATTACGCAGCAATAGTAACTCAAGGGAAATGGGATCGGCTCTCCTGGCCGTAGCCTTTTGGTTATTTAAAACAATCCAATTTGCAAGGATAATTATGTATTAGTGTTTTATCTGCCACTTGAAATGAACAGGGGAGTTTCCATACTGGCCCAGCATTAGCAGGTTATTGCTGCAAATTACTTGATATCTGCTTTCTTTCACATACAGAGGAAATTAGGCAATCAATTACCAGAAAAAGGTGGACCTGGGCATGGGATGGACACGCACGCCCTCTGCTGGCCACTCAACAGCTCTGCAGGGCTGGGAGCCAGGACTGGTGTTGGAAGGGCCCTCCTGCCTTCCAGCCAGGGACACCCCGGAAGTGACCACCTGCTACTTAACAAGCACCTGTTGTGAAGACTCAGCGGAAAAAGACAACAACAAGCGGTCAGCCCATCATCCACCCCACGGGTCCTGCCCGGCCACCCGTGACCACACTCGTGCATCCCACGGGTCCTGCCCGGCCACCCGTGACCACACTCGTGCATCCCACGGGTCCTGCCCGGCCATCTGTGACCACACTCGTCCATCCCACGGGTCCTGTCTGTCTGTGACCACGCTCGTGCATCCCACGGGTCCTGCCCGGCCATCCATGACCACACTCGCGCATCCCACGGGTCCTGCCCAGCCATTTGTGACCACGCTTGTCCATCGCACAGGTCCTGTCTGTCTGTGACCACGCTCGTGCATCCCACGGGTCCTGCCCGGCCATCTGTGACCACGCTCGTCCATCCCACGGGTCCTGTCTGTCTGTGACCACACTCGTCCATCCCACGGGTCCTGCCCGGCCATTTGTGACCATGCTCGTGCATCCCATGGGTCCTGTCTGTCTGTGACCACACTCATCCATCCCACGGGTCCTGCCCGGCCATTTGTGACCACGCTCGTTCATCCCACGGGTCCTGTCTGTGACCACACTCGTCCATGCCACGGGTCCTGCCCGGCTATTTGTGACCACGCTCGTCCATCCCATGGGTCCTGTCTGTGACCACGCTCGCGCATCCCACGGGTCCTGCCCGGCCGGCTGTGAGCATGCTCACCCTGGTCCACACTGCCTTGCCTCCAGGGGAGCAAGAACTGGATGTGAGGGTGAAGCTGGGGGACCCGTGGACTCACTAGGGCCAGCTGTAGTGTGACAAGCATGTACAAGGTGACTGGTCCAGGTGCAGCTCCCACCTACCCTGGGGGACCACGTGGTGCTGATCTGAGAAGCCCCACCTCCTGCCACGTTGACTCCAGAGGTCTCCCAGACATGGTCCCAGTATCAAGGCAAGCTGCCCCATGAAAGCACAGGCCCAGAAGCCCCCGACACGACCCCGCTACCCTTCCAGCCATGCTCACGCACCCCCTCATCAACCCTTCAAGCCCACCCCCAGGCCTGCAGGACACTCTTCGGTGGCAGCCCCTCCCCACGCCTCCCTGCCACTCAGTTCAAGTGGCACCTCTCCTCCACCTGACCATCTGCTAACATGGACCCCCTCCAATGTCCGTGAGCCTCCTCCACCTGGCAACCTGTGATGGGACTGAAGCAGCTGTCTGTCTGTCTGTCTGTACCTCGGGAACACCAGCATCCATCTCCATCCTCTCCATCAGTGTCCCCAGACCCGGCCTGTTCCCGTCACAGAGGGCTCAATGCTCATTTGTTGTGACAGAAAGGGGGGGGGGGCAGGGGGGGGGGGGTTGTAGGAGGGTGGGTAATAGATGGGTAGGTGGGTGGGTTGTAAGGTGGGTGGGCAGGTGGGTGGGTAGGTGGGAAGTCCTGTATCTGCACCACGGCCCTGCTGCCTCTGTCAGGAACGAGCAGGCTCTCTGCTCCCTTCACGGTGGAGCAAGCCCTTGTATGTGACCCAGCACACACAAGCACACACATGTGCACGGGACCGGCTCAGAGGCTAGTGATGACCAGTGCTGAGATGATTTATCCCTTAGCAGACCAAGAAGCTGGGGAGCCCCCAAACTCCACCATCCCACCTCCCAGGAGGGAGCCCCGCTACAAGAGAGGGGAACAAAGTGCCAATAACGGGACATTCATGGCATTGGTCCTGCCGGCAGGAGGAGCTGGAGGTTCAGGGAACCAGGCGCCTGGCACAGCGGGAGGTGGTCCTGCCTGCAGTGTGCCCCTCTGCAGAACCTGGCAGCCCAGCCAACTCCACAACCGGAGTGACCCAGGCCCACAGCCTGCCTGCCCCCGTCTGATGAGCACAGCCCCCCTCTCAGGAGAGCTGAGTCAGAGGCCTGGCCTCGGCTCACACCTGAACACTGAACACTCGCCCTGTGCCTCAATGCCAGCTCTGCCCGCCTTAGTCTCCTAGAGCCCAGGCTACAGGCTGACAGCCCTGGGGAGGCAGGAGGGATGCAAGGCCCACAGACAGACAGACAGATACGTCCTCCTGCAGGACTCTCCCAGCCCCAGACTAAGAGCTCTGGCCCTAGAAGGGGCATTCAGGTCACACAGGCCCAGAGCTAGGCAATGGGGCGGGATCCTCTGGCACTCAGCTCTGCTCAGATACTGGCTCCACCGGACACCCCCTCACAGCAGCCCCCCGTCCTTCCTCAGGACAGACTCTGTCAGTCCCCAGAGTGTAATGACAGCATTGGAGAGCTGAGTTCCGGCCTGGCTGGACTGTGTGGGCAGTCCTATTTCCCATGGCTACCAGGCCTGCAGGTCAGATGCTGGGCTTGGGGCCGGGTGTTCCCACTCCCCCCTTGCCTGCTCCAGATCCCAAGACAGTCTGGGACACGGCCAGCCGGTCCCTATAGGCCCATCCCCCACATGTCCGATGCTCCGCTGGGCACAGCAAGGACCCCCGACCCAAATCAGTCCTGTCCAACCCCTCAGGGCCATCCCCCAGGCACAGCCCCACAACCCTCAGAGAGCTGGCACACAGCCAAGAACGGAGCTCGGAGGAGCCTCACCGGGGGCCCATTCCCTCCGCGCGGTGCCCAGCACGATCTGTACCAGGGAGATGCTGGGAAGCGGCCCTGTGGCCCCACCGTCGTCAACCAGGATGGACCCACAGCACACTGCTCCCAGACCCCCACTCCCGGCTCCTACCTTCCTTTGCAGGGAGGTGGATCCGGCCCGGTGGCAGGCGGCACAGACGGTGCCTGGTGACCTGCAGCAGGCCCCTGGTGGGCGTCTTCTTCAGAACAGGGCTACTCTTCCCCCGAGGGACCTGTCTCCGCCGGAGACTGCAGCGGTTCTTGGCAGAGGTGGAAGGTGGGCTGCTCTTCCTGTCCCCAGGCAGGCTGAAGAGACAGTGCACAGGAAGCTCCTGACAGGCTTCGGGGCAGCTCTCCCCACTCACCCAGCCTCACCCAGGGCCCAGGACATGTGCAAATGGCCAGTGGTACTCTCAGGGCTCCCCACACCCTGCAGCTAGAGCTGATGACACCGACTCCGAGGGCAGCTAGCAGGGGCTCAGGGCCTTCACCGGACTGTGCCCTTCCGGCCTAGGTCACACACACCCTCTGCCAGCTTTCTGGGTGTGCACAGAGCATGAGGGGCCCGGATGGGGATGGTCATGGAGGCTGCCCACCCCAGGTTCACCTGAGCTCCCCCTGTCCTCGGCAGACCTACCACACCCAGGCAGACCAGGGGTGTCTGCATCTGGCCCGCCCCTGGGCCCTTCCTGTGGAAACTGCGTCCAGCAGCCCACTGGTCTCTCACCTCTACCTCTGTCCCCACCTCGCTGAGAGCCCTGATCACTCACAGGGCACACAGCTGACACCCCTCCGCCCCGCCTGCCCAGGCACGTACCTGGCACTGCCCCGCCGCCGGATGATCTTGGTGCGACTCTTCACCTTGTACCCTGAGAGTGGGGTCTCCCCAAAGAGTGCCTTCAAGCCACTGGGGCCCGCTGCCCATCTGTTGTCAGGGGAGGACTGCGACAGGACAGGGGAGAGTGGGCCGGCCTCGGGCTGCCAGTGGAAGGAGGAGGCTATGGCCGAGGGACTGGAGGCCTTCCACTTGTACTTACTTGGGGAGGCCCCAGGCTTGGGAGGCAGGGCGGCCTTCCTGGGCTTGGCCTCTGAGTCTGCTCTCTGAGTCTGCGGCTTCCCTGCCCACTGGGACCCGCTGCCCGAGGCCCTGCATGCATTTGGGGAGACCCCAGGCTTGGGCGATGGAGTGGCCTTCCTTGGCTTGGCCTCTGAGTCTGCTCTCTGAGTCTGTGGCTTCCCTGCCCGCTCAGATACGCTGATGGGAGATGCAGCCGCTCTGGGGCTGAGAGCCCTCCGGGCGGCTCGGGGACTCTTGGCCGAGGTGGCTACCCATTTGTAGTTGTTCTTCCTGAACCTGGTGGTTCGACAGGACCCAAGCAGTGAGGCCTCCCGGGCCTGCCTGAGCCCCGGGGCTGCTCGGCCTGGGCCTGTCACCAAGCCCAACGGGGCTGGCTGATCTGGGTGGCCGGCGTCGGCCCTTCTGTCCGTGAGGGGCTGAGCGGAACAGCTGGATGCAGAGTGAAAACCCACCTTCCGGCCAGAGGGCCCAGCGCTGCGCTGAGGCTGGGCAGGCGGGACTCGGCCCTTGGCAGCGATGGCACCCTCGCTGACTGTCCGCCGGGGCTCCGGGGGGCCCCTGCTCACACTGCTCACTGACCTCACTGCCCGTGGTCTGCCAGGCTCCTTCTGGCAGACCAGCAGGGGGTCCTGGACTCTGCCTGGCCTGGGGGGCTGCAGCTTCCCACCAGGGGGCTCGCCCTCGCCTTCCTGGGGCCTCTGGTCACGCCACGATGGGCCCTCACGCTGCTCCAAGGGGCCCTGCTGGGCCACCAAAGCACCGGTCAAGGCTGGTTTCGCCGGTGGTGGTTTAATTTTGATGACCATGCTCTGATCTGGACTGAGTTGCACCTGCCTCTCCAGGACATAGGGCTGGGGGCCAGGCTGCAGTCGGACCCGAACCCCGAGGTCAGGCTCTTCGACAGGGTCAACAGGCAGGCCCGCAGATTCCTGAGGCCGATTCACCAGCGAGTACTTCTTACACCATGGAGGCCCGTGGTGTGGGGCGAAGCCCCTTCGGCTCGGACGAGGGTAGCGGGCACTGTAGGACCTGCTGCTGTGGTAGGCAGAGGGCTGCCACCGAGAAGCAGGTGAGGCACACGGGGCAGGGGCATTGCCATGGTGAGTTCTGTAGTCATCAATCAGACCTGAGAAAACAGAACCACGCACCATCCAGTGTAAACCACGACAATCACAGAGATCCTGGGGAGTCGGGGGTGGGGGGCGGGAATCAGACACCACAGCCAGCATTTCAGTCCCAGGAGTGGTATAGCCTGGGTGCCTGGGGCCCCACAGCTAAGTTCCCAGAGCCCTCCCCCCATGCATTCTATTTACTGCTTATCCAGAAAAACAGCCCCTATGCCAGGAGTCCTGGGGTGGTGCTGTGGGTTAATGCACTGGACTGTAAAGTCGGCTCGAACCACAGGGTTGGTGGTTCAAGCTCACCAGCCACTCCTTGGAAACCCTATGCAGGGTCACTGGGTCGGCACCAACTCAACATCACTTAGCAACAACAATACCATCTGATGGAGTTCTGGTTTGGCACTGTAGGATAAGCATTGCACTGCTAACTGCAAAATCAGCAGTTCACACCCACCAGCTGCTCCCTGGAAACCAGGTCTCTCTGAGTCAGAACTGACTGGAAGTTACTTTACAACAACAATGCCACCTTGTGGTGGTTAGGTGCCATTGACTCCGCTCTGTCTCAGGGTGTCCCTCTGCATGACAGGACACACGGCATGGCCTGGTACCACCTTCATGACCACCACTGGGATGGCTACTGTGTCCACCTGTCTCATTGAGGGTCTCCCTTGCTTCCACTGACCCTCAACTCTACCAAGCGCGATGTTCTTTTCTAGAGAACTATGACATGTCCACAGTGAGCGGGTCTTAGGGGGGCCATACTAGTGAGGTATGCAGGCCAGTCATCTGCTGGCCTGTGTCACACACTGTCCTCTCCCACTGCTGTCTCCTGTAGCGCAGAATACAACCGCTTCCAATACTGTCATCCTTACCGAAGCACCAGCAGATTGCCAGATCTTACTCCATTGGAGCAACCAGTGAGTTCGAAGCGCCAACCTTTTGGCTGGTTGGTAGCCAAGCGCTTTAGCCACTGTTCCACCAGGATTCCCTGACACACCGAGTCACCTAACCCCTGGATGGCTATCCTAGCGCAGAAGCATGTGTGCCACACTCTCCGCACCCAAGGGTCCTTCAGCTGGAACAACCCAAGACATCAATTCAACCAACAAGGAGGTGTCTACTCCACCCCCCCCCACCAACAACACCACACACACACACACACACACACACAGAGCCCTGGTCCAGACCTAGTGACACCTTAGGACTGGTGTGACAGAAACCCAAGAAGCCAAAGCAGGTACCAGTCCACCTAGAAGCCGAAGCAACCTGCCATGCAACCCTATATAGTTATAGGAGCACACAGCTTCATCATTCTCCCCACCTCGGCAACCAGTGGGTTTGAACTGCTGACCTAGCCATTAACAATCCAAAGTCCAATCATAAGCGACATCACACACATTTTCCAAATCCTTAAGTCTTCTTTTGCGGGAATAATTTTTAAAAGGAAGTATTTTTAAATGGCTTGGAAAGTCCAGCTTGGGTCTAAACTCCGGAGAGTGTGGCAGCTGAGGCCTGGGGACTCGACCCGATACAAGAACACGGGGGAGGGGGTGTAAAAAGGGTGTCGCCGAACGACTAAGACAACGCAGTACACACTGAGCAGGCTTGACCACAGGAGCAGGGACTTGTCAGACACCCCACTTTCGGGATGCGGCCGCCCGTGGGGGTGGGGTGGGGCCGGTTACTAAGCGACGCGCCCACCATCACCGGCCGCTGCCCCAGGAGGGCAGTTGGTCTGGGAACTGACCAGACCGGCCCGACGCTCCTTTGGGTTCCCCATGCCCTGCCCGGCCCTACTCCTCACCACCGACAGCGCTCCCTCGGGGACGGCGAGCGAAGCGACGCCCTTCGGGGAGGGAAACAGGGGTCCGTTGGGAGAGGAGAGAAACCCAAGGACACGCGACTCCGGCCCCCTACCCCACCTACCCTGTAGGAGTCGGATCTGTCGCCGTAATTGCTCCTTTTCCTCCATCTCCTGAGACTGCGAAGCCCGGCCAGGCCCCCGAGACGTCATAGTTCCGCGACGGTTTCCCTCCGGACGGGGTAGGGCGAAGCCGGAAAAGGACGAGCTGCCAGGAAGCGCGGAGACCGGGTACTACCCTCAGACTGCAGTCGTCTCCCCGGCAACGCCCCGCCCCGACACCGCCTAGGAGACCGGGCTACGTACGCGCAGAACGAGAAGAGGGGGAGATGGCGTCATCAGTGAGCGCCTGAGTGCTGACAGCTGTCGTGGGGCCGTCTTGTCTGAACTGGAAAGGAGTCGTGACGGACCTCGGCACCAGTTCACGTTCCCCTGGGGGTTGTGGGCAAGGACCTGAGACCAGAGTCCCCAGCTCACTGCACCCCACTCCCCCGTCCCTCCCTACGGTCTCTGCGTGAGGGCCCTCAGGGAGACCTGGTGGGACCGGGGCCTGGAAGGGAGATGACAGCTCGCGGGAGACCCTGACTGTCGCGTCCCGGAGTTAAAGGAAAGCCGATTGGCCAGGGTTTGAATATCAGCTCCCTAGCTGAGTGAACCCAGGGAAGTTCCTAACCTCTAAACCTCAGTGTTCTCATTTGTGAAGGAGGAGCAACACCTAACTGAACCTTAAGGCTGGTGTGGGCTCTTTCTCCAGACTTCTGGCTCTTGGCAGCCATTGCCTAAGGGCTGACCTTGTTATCTATGACTACGGGTGTGTTTTGTTTCATTTAAGCCACGCTAACCGTTCCCAAGGACTTCTGCCCTCTTAATCCAAACAACAGATTTCTGTTGTATTTTTTAACATCTCAGAAATAAAGAGGTTGAACATGACATTACAAAGAGATTATTTGCACCAACGCAATGGTGACATCTTGGTGTTTTCAATAAATGGTGCTGGAACAACTAAGTGGATATTCTTTGGAAGGGAAAAGGGATGCTCAGTATCTACCTCACACACAACAAGAAGACTAAACACAAAAACTACAAATTATAAATCTCCTTAAGAAAAGGGAAAGTCTCTCCCCAAGCTGTAAGTAAGCAAAGCTTTCTTTCACAGGGCATGAAAAGTACTAGCTAAAAAAAAAAAATTAAATTAAAAGAGTCTATTCATCAAAAGGCACTAGTAAGAAAAAGTAAACGCAAGCCACAGACAGCTTCACTTCTGGCAGGGAAAGAGTAATAATGAACCGGTTCCCACTGTCAGCAAACAGAAAACTGGAAACATGGTAAGAAGTAACTGCTTTCAGGCATTGTTCAGCAGCAGAGACTTAAGACCTTTGAGAGAAAGGAACCCACCCCGGCAGAGAAGTTCCACACTGTTCAGGTTACTACCTGACAATTTACAAACAGTCATTCATGGAAAAAGACTTCAAACGGAGGCAAACTTCGTTAGGCCAATAGGTCATTAACAAACATGAGACCAAATCTTGAAAAGCACTCGTAGATTGGCCTTGCCCTAGTTTGTTCACCTTGGGAACTCATCACACTCCATCTGGTGGATAGCTGGGGCTAACCTGCTAAAGGATAAGCAGTACATGCTTAATTCACTTCAGCATCCTGTCAGTTATGTAAGTGAGGCCAGATGACACGTCCCGTAGCCCAGGTGAGCCATCTCAGCTGAGCCCACCAAACAAATGCCCAGCCCACATAATCATGAGCAGATCTACGGAGGTGGTTTCAAGCCCCTCAGTATTGTTACACAGCAAAAATTGGTTGATTCGTGGGTCCAGGACTCAGACCTGCTCTTCTCTTCTGTGCTAGACAAATTCTCTACTCCTGGACTCTGGTATGGAGATGCCAGGGAGGAGAGCCAAGCTACTTGCTGAGAGGGGAAGGATTTTGTCTCCAGGACTTGTTTTCACTATATTGGGAAGTAATTGTTGTCAGAGTTGACTTGCTAAAACGGATTTTGGAGTTCACTTAAAACTCATTGAAATTTAAACAACTCAGAAAAAGAGGGTGACAATGAATATACAACTCAAAGAATGCGATCACCATCCCTGAACTGCACATGTGGAAACAGTCGAATTGGTGCATTTTGCTGTGTGTGTTCTCAAAATAATGGAATTAAAATTAAAAAAGCAAACCATCAAACTTGTCAAGCTAGAAACTGTCACAGCCTTGCTTAAGGAGCTTACAATGTGTGCCAATATCCTGGAGGCCTTTTGAGCAACTTCACTTTAAGCAATCGCTTCTAGAGAAAGAAAGAAACACACAAAAAAGACTTCTAAGCAAAAACATTGAGTGCACTTTGGTGAGTAGTAACTGTGAGTGACCATCTAAAGTGCCACGATTGGTCTTTCCTCATCTAGAGGAAAGAGAGTGATGAACATCGAAGGCATCTGGAAATGACCTAATGGACGACAGGCCTAATGGACCAGGTGAACATCGGTCTCACTAACTCTGAGACCAGAACTAGATGGTGCCTGACTGCTATTCTCCGTGTTCTGAAAGGGATCACATTCGACGCCTTGGATCATTGTCGTTGTTGTTAGGTGCCATCGAGTCACTACTGACTCATAGTGACCCTATGCACAACAGAATGAAACACTGCCCAGTCCTGGGCCAACGTCACAATTGTTGCCACGCTTGAGCCCATGGATGCTGCCACTTTGTCATATCATAATCCAACTTCCTAAAATCAAAGACAAGGAAAGAATCCTGAAAGCAGCTCAGGAAAAACAAAAAGTTACCTCCAAAAGAGGATCAGCAAGACTGAGCTCTGGTGTCTTAACAGAAACCATGCAGGCAAGAAGGAATCGAATGACATATACAAAACTCTGAAAGAAAAACATTGCCAACCAAGAATCATATACCCAGCAAATATGTCACTCAGATAAGACAGCAAAATGAGGCTGTTTCCTGATCAACAGAAATTAAAGCAGACCAACTTCACAAAAAATATTAAAACGTGTTCTTTGGATTGAGAACCAACAACTGCAGGTAACAACCTGAGAGGACCATAATCACAATCCCACCCAGAACTCAGTCCAGATATAAAAGTATCTAAACGGAAAAAACCCTACAAGACAGAAAATAGGGAACCAAAGAGCCCAATTTATAATAACGACAACTACAAAGCAAAGAGAGGGACTATTACAGTTACAGAACTTGCGCATGGTGAGGAAGTCATGTCGATTTTAAGATAAAACTGTAATTTGTTAATTTTCCCCATTTAAAACAGAGTAACCTCAAAAAAATGAATACACCTTCATATCAAAATAAGAAGGACAATCAGAAAGCTTTAGTAAACATTAGCACAATGAAAATGAAAATGTAAATAAAACCCACAAACAAAATCAACTCTGTGCAGAAAATGATGTGGAACAAAGAAGCCAGCTACACCGCAAAAAACACACCTAACAAAATGACAGCAGTCACTTCATGCCTACGGATAATGACACTGAATGTCAATGGATTAAATGCACCAGCCAAGAGACAGAGAGTAACAGAATGGATAAGAAAAGAGGAGCCTTCAAGATGCTGTCTACAAGAGACACGCCTTACACACAAAGACAAAAATGAACTAAAAATCAAAGGGTGGAAAAAAATTTTATCAAGCTAACAGCAATCAAAAATTAGCAGGAGTGGCCACTTTAATCTCTGACAAAATAGACTTAAAGGCAAAAAACAAAATAAGAGACATGATTTCAAGACCAGCTGAACAAGAGGACATAATCATAATGAATAGCTATGCTCCCAATGAAAAAGCCTCAAAATACATAAATCAAACTCTAATATGTGTCACCAGCTGCTCGTTGGAAACCCCATCCAGGGTCACTACAAGTTGGAAACAACTCAATGGCACTTAACAACAACAACAGTAAAACTGAAGAAAGAAAAACTCTGCAATATAGTTGTTGTCATGTACCATCAAATTGGTTGTGACTCATAGTGACCCAGTATCGGGTTTTTGAGGCGTGGCTGGGGAGTTTGAACCATCGACCTTGCGGTCCTACGCTTATCCTTCAGTTCCACTAGGACTCTGACAATAATTGTTGTTGTTGGGTGCCATCAAGTCAATTCCAACTCATAGTGACTCTGTGTAGTGTTTCCGAGGAGCCACTGGTGAGTTTGAACTGCCAACCTTGAAGTCGAGTGCTTATTGTACAGTGCCACACCACTTTCTATGAAGGACAGCCAACTAGAAAGAAACTCAACAAAGACACAGAAGAACTGAACAACACAAGCAACCAACTTGACCTCATAAACATATGCAGAGCACGCAACAGTAGCACAATACACATTCTTCTCCAGAGCACATGGAACGTTCTACAGAATAGACCATGTGAGGCCACAAAGCAAACCTCTATACAATTAAAAACATCAGAATACTACAAAGCATCTTCTCAGCTCACAGTGCTATAAGATTAGAAATCAACCACAGGAAAATCAAGGGGGAAAAAAACCAAATGCTTGGAAACTGAATGGCACCCTGCTCAAAAGCTACTGGGTAATCAAATGAATTAAAATTTCCTTGAATCAAATAAGAATGAAGGCACGGTCTACGAAAGCATTTGGGCCACAATGAAATCAGTGCTCAGAGGGCAGTTTATAACAATAAACACATACATCCAAGAAGAAGAAAGAAGCAAAACTTAACACCTTAATCCAACAACAAAAGAGCAGCAAAGTAAGTCTACAGCCACGAGAAGAAAAGAAATAACAAAGGTTAGAGCAGAAATCCATGATCTAGAATACAGGGAAAAAATAAGGTCAGCAAGATGAGAAGTTGGTTCTTTGAAAAGATTAATAAAATTGACAAATCAATGGCAAATCTAAGAAAAGAAGACAACACAAATAGCATGAGTACGAAATTATAAGGGCAACATCAAAACAGATCCAATGGAAATAAAAAGAATAATACGAAGAATTATAGTCCAACAAATTTGAAAATGTAGAAGAAATGGACAAATTTCTAGAAACACAAGGTAGGTGATTCAGACCACCAGCTGCTGCTGGGAAATCTCATACAGAGTTGCCATGAGTCCGCTTTTTAGGCATATCTCCTA